AATTAAAATTAGTCATAAATTTAAAAGTTGCGATAACTTTTTTTTTGGTCCAATACTTTTGACCGGGGAGTGTATATGAGAAATTTTTATTCGATTTGACGTGTAATTCCGGATAAATAAAATTATAGTCGAAAAAATAATAGTGAATCACAAAAAAATGTAATTAAAGTTTTGAATTTATTCAATGAGACCCAATTCACGAAGGTACTCAGGAATAACCACGTATGGGTCTTCGTAATACCAAACATACCTCAAGGCAATCCAGTTTTCTTCGCATAATTCTTTCTTGATTTGATCGCCATTATGATATACTTTTTCATGTTGTATGCCTTGTACTTGAATGCAAAGCCATATTGTGGATAAAATATATCGAGTTCAGTCCATTTGGATATTCTTGTGACTTTAAAAAACCAGGCGAATTAGTTGCGCAATGTGGACACCACGTCTTATTGTTTTTTATATTATTAAAAGATGCATTCCACTTGCGTCCTTCAGAACAACGCATAATAGAGGTGAAACTATTAATATATGTTTCGGAAAGGCATTCACAATATGGCACCATGTCTTATTTATTTTTTATATTATTAAAAAGATGCACTTCACTCATGTTTTTTTGTACACCACCATTGCATTGGAGTATTGGCATTAAATGTATTTCCAATTTTTGCTACGAGCTAGTTTCTTTGCATTTTCGATAGTAAGAGTCCTATTACCTGCGCAATGTGGGCACCATGTCTTACCATTTTTTATATCACCAATTTATGCTCTTTAGCACAACACCATAACAAGCATTCATTTCACTCAAAATACGGTATTTTTGTAATTAGAAAAACTACGCTTTATATATCAATCAATGATATTTTAGTATACTTTTTTCTTTGATCTTAAAAATATAAAAAGAAGTTTTTAGTTCCGCGTAACGAAATGGCCTGATGAAAGATATTCAATTCAAAAATCTACTTTAAATCAACCAATCATGATATCGCAAATAAAAAAAAAATTTATATTTAGGTCAAAAAAAATAGTACCTTTTTTTTTATTTTATTTTTTTTTACCATGACTTCAGTTCCAATTCTACCCTCTTCAAATTGGCAAAAACTTAAATCCGTACGTTATACTCATCGAATTGAATTTTATCTATCTTGAAATAATATAATTCAATTTTATATATTTTTTTTTTTTTTTTAGAAAATTGTTAAAGAAACCACTAAAACTAATAAAAATAAACGAAAGCGTAATGAAACGGAACACAAATCAAATAAAAGTGTGAAAACCAGGTAATTTAATAGAAATACCTTTTTACAAATAATTTATAATTTTAATAAAAAAATTATTTTGTTAATATGATTTATCGTAGTTCAAATGGTTCGGCAACAAAAGTTAGAACGACTCAAATAAGTGATTTATGGTTCGATGATATTAAAAAAAGTGGATTTAATCAAATGAGTGAATACTCTTCAAGAGAAAGTTCTTTAGTATCAGAAGTTTCCTCTACAAATAATAAAACAAAGTAATTATTTTTTTTTTTTTTTTTTTTTTGCATTTCGATTCTTTTATTTATTTTATTATTTTGTTTTTTTTTTTTTAAAAAAAAAAAAAAAAAACCTATTTTAATCAAAAATCAGAATTGGGAAATATGTTGCAATTGATTGTGAAATGGTTGGAGTTGGACCTGGTGGAATTCAATCGGCTCTTGCAAAAGTGACGATAGTAAATTACTATGGTGTGATCATATTAGATAAATATGTTAGACCTATAGAAAGAGTTACGGACTTTAGAACTGAAATTAGTGGAATTACACCAAAATTATTAGTAAATTGTAAGTAAATTTATTTATTTATTTATTTATTTTTTACATAATATATATATATATATATTTTTAAAACCAATCATGATTTTTTTAGCACATGATTTTAAACAAGTCCAACAAGAAGTTTACAACATAATTAAAGATAGAATAGTAGTTGGACACGCTCTTCACCATGATTTTAAAATGTTAATGCTAGACCATCCACGCAAGATGATACGTGATACTTCGTTATATAAACCATTTCGTCAAATTACTAAGGGAAAAACACCTTCATTAAAACGTCTTGCAAGTGAAGAATTAGGAATGACAATTCAAACGGGAAGACACTCCTCAGTACGTAGATTTTTAATTGACGAACTTTCTAATTAAAATCATTTGATTATTATAATTAAATTATTGTTATTGATTTAGGTTGAAGATGCACAAGTTTGCATGATGTTATATCGTAAACATAAAGAACAATGGGAACAACGAGATTTTATAAAAAAATCCATTAATGTGAAATAATAAAGGGAATACCTTATTTAAATTCAAATTTAGCTAATTAATCGGTCACGTGTACAATCAAATAAAAAATAAATTCGCGTCATCAATCATACTTTTATTTTCAAAATGGCTAAGTCGGATAAAATAAATTTACTGACAAACGCGTTGTTTCGAACTTTGACAGCGCCCGAGGGCACGATCGTTGAATTTCCAGAGCTAGAGAATGTATTTAATGCTCAAAGCACAGAGTCGTCATTTAATATAGGAACTTCCAGTACCACTGTAATTCAACAACCTACTTTGAAAATCAATATCTTTGATTTTGATGGGACTTTGTTCTCCTCACCCGAACCAAACCCTGAAATATGGGAAAAACGGTTGATTGGCATGTTGAAAGAAGAAAATAAGATTTTTAGAGGATGGTATCAAGATAAACGGTCACTTGAAACATGTGAAACGGGAAATAGGTGGAATAATAAACTTGTCGAAACAGTTAAGCTTTCAATGAGAGCTGAAAATCATTTAACAGTTTTATTGACAGGTCGTAATTACAATGAATTTCACGAGATGATTACGGAAATGGTTGAAAGGAGAGGAATGAAATTTGATGTGATGGGTTTTAAACCAAACATTAATCTTCTTGATTGGCAATCATATTACAAGACCCATATTATTAAAACTGTAGGCAGGGATATATATCAAGAGATTATTCTGAAAAAAAGTACGATAGAAGGAACCCAGAGATTAACAACAAAACAATTCAAATTCAATTTTATTAACGATTTAATCTCGCATCATCCTTCAACCATTTCAATAAGTATATGGGAAGATCGAAAACCCCATCTTAAAGCTTTTGAAATTTTTTTTAAAGAATTGAAAACTCTTGGGAAGATTAAAGAAGGGATCGTTCATATGGTGAAACTTCCGAAAATTCCTCTTGAACCTTTCGCCGAATATCATATGGTGATGGGTATGGTAAATGATCATAATGAACGCACTGTTAATAACAAGATTGGAATCGTTAGGAAAATTCAATACGCAGGAATCTTTTTTGATGATCATGTGATTGATCAATTGAAGAAGAATTTTCCACCTCCTGAAAATTATGGTGAATGGGTTTTTGAAGGGTCATACGTTCATATTAGAACGAATACAAATAACGAATGGCTAAATTCATATTGTGGAGGTAGAGGGGCCATTGTGACGATGAGAGTTACAGCCTTTGGTATATATCAAGAACGTATTTATTGTTTGCAAGTGAGTGAATATGAAAATATCCAAGCAAGGACCCCTCAAGGTATGCGTAAAGGTAGATTATATAGCGATTGTCCGGTACCTTTCATTAATTTCGCCTACGTTAAAGGTAGCCAAGGATTTGATGATAATACGGAAACGTTTAATTTTAATTGGGTACCAATTGAATATGAAAACCAACTTGTAATTCAAGGGGTGATCGCAGCAAAATATATTCTTGGTTTAGCTTGAGTTATTTTTTCAACACAATATTTATTGCACTATAGAGATAATTGTAGTGGTTAGGAATGAACTTTTTAATTTAATGATGTTGTTCTTTAAGTTTCTTATTCAATAGAGCTAAATAAATACATTAAAACGTTAGTTCGATTATCAATCATTATTAATGTCCAATGTTCAATGAATTAAAATCGCTCGTTAACAAAATGAATATACCTTTAGGATTACGAGGATCGGTATCATAAGGTGGAACTATAACAAACAAGAATCATTCGAGTTAATTACAAGTTAATGCATTCTTTTGACAGCTTACAAAAGAAAATACAACATACCTGATTGTGCTGCATTCTCAATTTTATTAACAGTGTACAGCACAAGGCTTGCGCAAATAATGAAAGGAGCCAAGGGCTTTACAATCGGGGTTGGAAAACTACGTCTTCCAAGCAATGCCATATTAGATTATTCTTTCTGTAAATATGTTCTTTTGCTGTAGTGGAACGAATCAATATTAGAGAAATATTTTATTACTTATTTCTCAAAAAAAAAAAAAATAATTTTTTTTTTATTGAGAATGTTAATCCAACCTTAATCAATTTTTTTCATCGTCGTACACGTGTCGCATTCAAATGATTTTACTATAAAAAGGATTCATTGAAACATCTGAAAAAATTCAAAAACATACAATCATGTCAGAAGAAACGATTAATACATTAAATACGACGAGTTCGACCGAAAACGAAGCCGATCTACAGTTAAGCAAGTATGGTCAAACCTTTTATTTTTCAACATAAATCATAAAGCGTTTGTTTAAATTTATTAATGTTTTTTTTTTTTAGTCCTGAAGCCGAAGATACTATTTTAGATCCAAGCAAAGAATTCGAAAAACAAGATTCTCAACATGGTACCATGGCACTTATTCTTTTAGCTGCTTTATTTGGGTTTCAATTGTTGATACTTTATTGGAAGTCAAAACATTATCGATCCTTTCAAGCAGTTACTTTGTTTGGATTATGGTTAGTAAATAGCGCAGTTTCATTTCAGCAACTTGATATATTTATTTAATTAATTTCCTCTCTCTTCAATTGATATTTAGGTTAATACCGATGTATCTATTTGGACTTCAGGCACATTTTTGGAGATTTTTATCAATTTGGGTCTTGTATTCAATTGCTAATTCATGGGGTACGAATTTTTAATCTGTGTGTAAATTGGGTTCAAATATTAAGTTACAACTGAACAATTTGTTTTGATTGTAGTGTTATACTTGGCGTCAAGAAAACCATTGGATCATCAGACTCCAAAGTATATATATGTATATATATCTCTATATAAGCATAATATTGTTTGTTTATATTTTATAATAATAATTTTTTTTTTTGGATTTTTAGGCTAGTTTATAAATGGTTTTCAATTGTTTATAAAGTATCATATGCTGTCGGCATAACCGGTTATACGATAATTATGTTATATTTTTTCGGACTTGTACAATTATTTTACTCGGGCACTGATGGATTTGAATTAGGAACAATACTTTTAAGTTATGGATTATATTTTGGGTATATTGATTTTATAATTTTACTTTATTTTCTTTCCCGGGTTTATTTTTTTCTCTAACCAAATAAATTTATTCAATTCAGAGTATTGAGCAGGGATTTTGTAGAAATTTGTACGGATAGAATGGCATCGACACTTGGATATTATAATAAGGATGGATTTCCAAGAAAACATTTAAGAGCAAATATATGTGCAATATGTGGAGTGGCTGCCACTGGAACTAGCAATAATACAAATAATAATGAAAATGGCGATCAAAACCATCGGGTATTTCAGCTGGCCTGTAGACACGTCTTTCACGATGATTGTATACGTGGTTGGTGTTTAATAGGAAAGAAGGATATTTGTCCTTATTGGTACGTAAATTTGAATTTTATCTTCCTTTTGTTCTTTGGTACAAAATTTTTTATTAACATCAAGATTTATTTATTTATAGTAAGGAAAAGGTTGATTTAAAGGAGTTCAAAACAAATCCGTAAGTAATTATTAATTTGAATTTAAAAATTTGCCGGAATTTCTTTTTAATTTTAATTTTAATTTATTTTATAGATGGGACACTCAGCAGCAACTTTACCTAAGTTTACTTGATGGTGTAAGATATTTAGTTGTTTGGCAACCTGTAAGTTTTTAACTCATTTTACATTAGTTTACTTTTTCATGAAAAAGACACGTCTTAATATAATTAATCCACAATTATTTTTATTTAGGTAATTTTTGCATTTGTACAATTAGCTTATCATATATTTGGTTTAGAATAGAAAATAATAAAATTCAATAGAGCCTACTTATAAAATTAGTAAAAAAAAGTATATATAGGAATTCTAAATTTTCTTTTTTATTTTTTTTATTGAAAACTTAATATTTATTATATATAGAAAGTGAATCCTTTATAAAATTATCTGTAAATTTTATAATTTTTCCTTTTCTTAATAACGACAATAATAAAATGATCTGCGATTTCATTGGTTAACAATTTTGCATACACGTGATTTATCAATAAATTTTACTTTCCCACATCTTAAATCTATTTTTCGATTTTATTATTATTTTTTCAACTATTTTCGCAAAATGGATTTGTTTAAAATTCTCGGTAGTGGTGCAAAATTTAATAAAAATCGATTTAATGAAGATATTACATTATTTGAGGTATTTCATTTTTTTTTGATTAATATAAATAAAATATTTACCTAGCATTAAAAAAATTTTTTTTTAATTTAGCCTTCGAATAAATCGAGGAGAATAAATGAAACCGCCGTTGATAATAAGTCGAATACACAATTGGACCTTATACAAGAAATTGACTTTTTTCATAATAGTAAAAGTTCAATTAATGAGACTTTAGGCATAACTAAAAGCAAAACAAAAGAAATAACGGAAAACCTAGATAAAGGCCAAGAAGAAGGTAATCGATGTTGTTTTTTGACGATCGATTCAATTAATTAGTCCGATAATTGAAGTTCTTCTTCCTTTTAGAAGGAGGAATTAATAATCAAGAAAGTAATGACGATGACGGTGACGATGACGATGACAATGACGATGACAATGAAGATGACGAAGATGGAAATGGTCAAGTCGACTTTAATTCCATGGATGATGTAATTACGACTTTTGATACTATTTACCTTTTCCTACAATTTGTTAATTGAAATTCATCGACATAGGTTAAAATGTTTCGCAAGCGACATCGAATTCGCGTTTACGGAACGGATATTCCAAATCCATTTGGTTCATTCGATGAACTTGAGTCGAAATATGAATTCCAATCATATATTTGTAAGAATTTAAAAAACTTTTCATATATAAAACCAACTTCAATTCAAATGCAAGCCATCCCTATTATGATCCATGTATGAAGTAATATTAAAATTATATTATTATTATTATTATTATTATTATTATCATTATTATTATTATTTCGGGCACACTAATATTTTTTATTTTATAAGGGACGAGATTTAATGGCAATGGCGCCTACTGGGTCAGGTAAAACGTTGGCTTATATTTTGCCAATATTATATGATTTGAAAGGTCCAGAGAAAATGGGGTATCGTGCTTTAATTATTTCTCCGACAAGAGAACTAGCACAACAGGTTCGATCTTTAATTATCAATTTGACACAATATCTCATAATCTATTATAACTTTTCTTGTTCAATTCTATTAGATTTATAGGGAAATCAAAAAAATGAGCATCGGAAAGAAATTTAAGATTTGCATGTTAACGAAAGCGACTGCGGCTACACAAGCGCAGGCGCCTCAACTAAGAGAAAAATTTGGTAAGTTACTTTTGAATTTCTATTTGTGATTCTTTTCAATTTGATTTATTTTTGATCTTTTTTTTCAAATCTGGGTCAAAAGATATTTTGATTAGTACACCACTTCGTTTGGTTCACGCAATTCAAGAAGAAAACATTGAATTAAAAAAGTGGGAAATAGCGGATTTCTTTTTTTTTTATAGATATAGATAGATAGATATATTATTATGTTCATTATATTAATGCAATGTACCTTTTGTGAATTTCCTTATAGCGTGCGTCATCTAATCTTGGATGAAGCGGATAAATTGCTTGAATTGGGATTTTTAGAACAAACCGATGAAATATTTGCTGCATGTTCTAATATGAAATTACAAAAGTCATTATTTAGTGCAACACTTCCTTCAGGTGTTGAAGCATTGGCAAATAATTTTATGAAAGATCCCATTAGAGTTATAGTAGGCTTGAGGTAATCAATCAATGATCTTAATTATTTTCCTTGGGAGAGATGGTGATGGCCAATCGTTTGTGCCAGTATGAAAAATTTTTAATTTTTTTTTTTCCTTTCTATTTTAGAAATGCTGCTACGGAAACGATTAAACAAAAACTTATCTACGTAGGACAAGAAGAAGGAAAATTAATTGCTATTCGACAATTGATACAAGAAGGGCTTAAACCGCCAGTATTGATCTTTGTACAATCCATTGAACGAGCAAAAGAATTGTTTCATGAATTAATTTATGACGGTATCAATGTAGATGTTATACATTCCGAAAGAACGAAAGCTCAAGTAAATTTATGAATTTTTTTAAATGTGGATCCGATGCTTTTTGTCTTTATTTTAAGTAACCTTTTTACTCTTTCCTTTTTTTTTTAAAAAAAAAAATCAATAATAGAGAGATTCAATTGTATTAAAATTTAGACAAGGAAAAATATGGGTATTAATAGCTACAGAATTAATGGCCCGTGGTATGGATTTCAAGAGTGTTAATTTGGTTATAAATTATGACTTCCCTCAATCTGTGCAAAGTTATATTCATAGAATCGGTAGAACTGGTAGAGCTGGTAGATCTGGTGAAGCTGTGACTTATTATACTAAAGATGATGCTCTTTATCTAAAGAGGTAAATTATTAAATCAACTCTAATAGCATTTGAAAAAAAAAAAAAAATTTCAAAAAAAATTTTTTTCCTTAAATATATATTTTTGAAATAGTATCGTGAATGTAATGAGAGAATCGGGATGTGAAGTACCAGAATGGATGTTTCAATTAAAAAATCCTTCAAAAGTTTCTAAACAGCAATTACGTAAAAAGCCTGTAGAACGTAAAACCATAAGTACAAGATCTACTTATGATCTTAAGAAAATGAAACATAAAAAGTAAGTATCTTTATATTCGTTTTAACAGTTTAACATGATCATTAAAAAAAAAAATTTTTTTTTTTTCGTTTAGGGAAATTATCGAAGCTTCAAAAAAACGAAAAGCTCGTAAATTAGCCTCTGCCGCAAATAAATATGGCGATAAAGGTGGTGGTGAAGCAGATAAAAAGGAGGACAAAGGTCTAATTAAAACTGATGATAAAACAAAAAATAATAAATTGGAATCATCAAAATCATTGCCTTCAAATAAGAGGAGAAAACGTATTAGTGAAAAGGATTAGAATTAGTTTCTTTATAGTTAACAATCATAAAACGACACGACCTTTTGTAATTTAAAGTTTTTAAAAAATTTAATATTAATTCAATATTACAAATTTCTAAATATTTTAATAACCGTTAAAAACTTGATCTAAATATTTGGAATAATCATATCCATCAGCTACACCTTGAATGATTGGCATAGCTTCTTTTAAGTATGATACAACGTTCCCTGGTAATAAAGATCTTTTTAAATCTAATTCAGTAACAAATGGCTTATCTCCAGCAACAACTTTAAATGATTGTCGGAGTTGATCCGGTGATGTTTTGTCTTCTGTTACATTAATCATAAAAATAATAAACTATAAAAAAACAAAAAAAAAAAAAAAAAGAGGATTAATAATTATTCAGTGCAATGTTTATTGCATAGTTGCGTAATCACATATTTACCTGTTCGAAAGTGGCTTCAGATTGTCCTGCGCAAGTTTGATTAAACGTGGCATACAATTCATCATCCTATTCAACAATAGGAGTAATCAAATGAATCCAAAGTAATTTATAATTAAAAAGGTACAAAAAAGAAAAATTAACTTACATCATAAAGAAGACCTAAGCTAGCCAAAGCAGCTTTAAATTCATAAGCATTTAATGTATTTGAACCATCCTTGTCAAAATGACGGAAAGTACTTTCAAATTCTTCTAACTGTGCCGGTGTTAAATTTGTCATGCTCCTTGACACGATCTTTATGATGATATTATTGTAATTTTAAAAAAAATTAAACAAGCATAATTATAATCGCATGATAAAAAACGTTCGTATTTACCTGATTTTCAATGAACGCAGATTTCTTATTAACAGATTGTTTTACAAGTTCCAATTCGAATTTTAAGTCATCAACTGAAAATACGGTATAATCATTTTCTTCAATATTAGCTTCATGACATTGGGCATCAATTTCTTCAATACGTGAGAGAGAATCTTCCAAAGGTCCTAATTTTGCAGAAAGTTTTTTCACATTTTCAAGTTGTACGTTTAATTCTCCATCTAACTTAGACAATACTTGCAATATAGAATCCAGACTTTTCTGAAAGCTATTTGCTGACTGAGCAAATGATTTACGGAGATTCTCCTTAATGCTATAAAAAACAAATATTTGAATAATTTAATAAGAAAATTAAAGCCAAACGTTTAATGAGACTTACTCTCGGATTTTATCATTAATAGATTTGTATCTTTGGGCTTCAGCATTCAATAAACTTTGCCATACTTTATCTAAATCGAATAGAGTTAATCCTACAGGAGGATGATAAGACTGCAATACATATGTTTTAAGTTTGGTCTGAATATTTCCAAGTAATGTATCTAAATCACTTTTTTCTGCTACCCATTCACGTTTCTCGGAATTTTTATATCTATTAAATTCAGCAGATTGACGTTTAGCATCGGTATAACTCCCATCAAAACGAGAATTAGCCCAAATGGTTTTCCTATCGTTAACTTTTTGCATTAACTTTAATGATTAAAAGAAATTTAAATATATTAATTTAAAAACGTTCTTATGATTGACTCTACATTACAAATACCTGTTTGACACGTCTTTCATAATCATGTTCCATATCCCAAGCGGATTGCATAACCTCTGCAAATTTTGCTACTCTTCTCCCAGCAATTTCCACTTTATCTAATTATCCAATATATAAAATTACATTTCACTAAATACATATAATACTAAGAAAAAACCAATAATTAATCATCTGACCTAAATGTGAAAATGCATGAAAGTATGCTGCAACATAGGTCATAATTGATCGTTCATCAGGTTTTTGAATGTCACAAACATCTTCTACATCTAACAATTTCTAGATGGATAAATAAAAAAATATATATTTCGAGCATTATACGTAAAGAAATTATAATATTACTTTATAAGTAAAGAAATTCCAAATACCGGTATGTCAAGATGCGTTGCCGCAACATCAAATGCTAAACTAGTATTCGTATGACGGTCCGACTGAATCGCGTAGAATACTCATTCATTATTAATATTTTAATAAGAAATTTCAAACTTTCGAATTCAAATTAAATATTCACCTTGTCTAACGCGTCATAATCTAATAAATCAGGACGATGTCGGTGTATTAAAGCACAGCTAAAAGTTAAATTGATTTTAAATTTCATGAATTCATAATTGTCATTAATTGTCATCATAATTTAATTTTACTTACAATGCCAAACCATCCTGCCAACTTGTCAAATAAAATGAAATTTAACATTATTATTATCATAAATTTATAAATGATTTTTAGACTCGAAAAAATCTTTACCTATAAGTAAAATCACGCACATTAACCTCGGAATAAGGAGCCGTCTTTCTTTGACACCAAAGTAAAAGACCCTCCTTAGCTGTTAGACCCTCTTCACTAAATTTTTATCAAAGAAAGAAATAATCAAATATCATACATAAATACGTGTAAAGAAATCGCTCTGTAATTTCACGAACCTAATATCGGCAATCGTGAATCTCAAAATAATAGTCCATATCATACCAAGAATAAGTTTAAGATTGGTATCAACAATATCTGGTAATAAGAATTTAATTCATTAAGTTATAAAGTTAAAAACTTCTCGTGCGTATAATTAGCAACAATATTTAGGTTATTTCTTTCTATTGTGAGATTTTACACACGATTAGTTCAATTTCGCGTATGATTTTACGCGATCGAAATTTATGTTTTAGTAGATATACCTTCAGCTCCAATGTTTGTGAGAGAAACACCTCTATGTTTGATAAATTCTAATGCTTTATTCACATTCTCGACTCTTTGAATACGCATTTTTGGATTTTTGTTATATCTTCCTAAGGAAGTATCTCCAATAATTTCCTAACAACAAAGAAGATTCCACTTCGCGTTAATATACATTCAGGTAATTCTGGGTGTCAACCAATTATTAATTGAATCTAATGCGTCTATAATTCTCTCGTCATGATCGATGGAAAAAGTTGATCAGTCCAAGATGAATATCAATGGCATTATCCAATCTTTAGTTTGACCGACATAAATATCAATTTCAATGGAATGTATAGTTTTATATTGCTCACCAAAAGCTGAATTAACCGAACTCCATCAGACATTGCACGATTCAAATCGCTAATTGAATCTATGTTCTTGATAGCCAATTTACTGTTTACCCTGTCAAAATGTGACAATTAAAATTATTAATTTTTCAAATACGAAATTAAGTGATAATCACATAGTTCATAAACCAACCATTTCGTAAAGGTTTTCTCTTGAATGTTTTCCCAAGTTCTGTCCATTACCTTCGCTATTGAAATTCAAAGAATTTACTATATATGCTGGAAAGCAAAAAAGTTACACCTCTATAAAAACGAAGTTATTCAAGTACCAGTATCTTCAACAACCTGTTGGGAAGCTGGGGATGGATTAAAAGTTTGTGACATTTTTTATTTAAAAGTCATTCAAAAATTCAAAAAACATAATTTACTCGAAAGGTACGGCGAGATGAAAATCAAAAAGTTTAAAGGCACACGATATCATGTGAATATGACGACATAATTGTGTTATATTCGGAAAATTCTAAGAACAAATAAAATATTTTTTTTTTTTGGCTTTTGATTTACGCGTAATGAATGCGGTGAGTTTTTTTTTTTTTTTTTTTTTTTACCTATAAATTTATTTTTTCTAATGTTTTTCGCGAATTTTGAACGAGTAATATTTACAGCTTGACCACATTATACATTTTTGTGAGAAATATCCAAAAGAAGCTGCTTACCTTTCTCAAGTATACCTTGACTTGACAAAAGGCAAATAACTGCTAAATTTTATTACGTATATTTGAACGAACTTCACAAATTTTTTTCGTATTTTTTTAGTAAAAACTTGGAGTGAAGTCAAAGTCGTAGAAATTGAACCTTTACAAAGATGTGTGATATTCGGCAAGGCGAATACAGAGGTGATAAATAAATTTTCTAAATTCTAATTAAAATGTAGGAAATGATAATTTATTTTCTTTTTTTATTGATTTCTCTCATACTTATCCACATCCATTATGTTTTATAGACCGAAACTCGAATAATCGTTCCGTGTTCCTCTTCTGAATCATGGTCAATTGGACGGTGAGTGTAATCATACGTATTAAAAAATTTTGTCACTATAAATAATATTACTAAGATTTCTATTTACAGCATATCATTGTTCTTTTCTTCGCTACAATCGTTTTTGAATGAGCCTTTATATAAAAGGTTTGCTCTTTTTCTTTTCTTTTCTTTTTAAAAAAGAAAAAATATTATATATGTAGATAAATATTTAATATACTAAATATATACAGAGTTTTCATGGTCTTTTTTTGTACAATAAATTAACATTTAATATACATGTAAAGTGTGAATTATTCTAATTGTTTAAATTATTATTATATTGGTTTACAAATTTTCTTTAAAATTTAAATATTTATATATACAGTGTTACTCTTGCCATCACATTCCCCGACTCAACGGTGGTTTATTATAAAGTTCACGAAGGAATTGTTCCTCCGAGTAATAATATATGAAGAATGTGTCGGTTGAATTAAGAGAAGAGCAACAATACTGAAAGATGGTTGAAAATGAATGCGATTAAAAATGGTTTTTTTTCGATTGTTTCAGAGTTAAATGAAAGTATAATGACAAAATGTCTAAAGCAAATTATTTGCTTCTTTCTTAATTGCATGTTAATTGAAAGCTCCCTCCTATTGAATTAACTGGTAAAATACCCAGCATGTGTCTTAATTTAATTATGAACCGAAAAAAAAAAATAGATAATATATATATATATAATGAATATATATAATATATATATATATATATATATATATATAATATGATAACAAGATTTGAAAGAAAACTAAGAAAAACGCCGCCAAAAGTGTTGCCAATAATATATAAATAGCAACCACAATTCTACGGGATATGTTGGATATATTATATATGCTACATATATTGGGGCGAAGAGTTAAAGTATTTGGTAGATGTCCCCAATAACAATCCATATTGCGTATTAAATAATATGCCATCCAAAATAAATTATACTTGATGACCAAAATTTACTTCGCTATCCCTAATTATCTTGACCGTCGCGGCTGAGGTGGCGGCGGAGGACTATTTAAAAATCTTCTATTTCCACCTCCGTAAAATTGACCATATGGAATTTCACCATATCCGCCATCATAACGCGGAGGAGGATGTGGTAGTTCACCATAAGGAGAGAGTCCAAAGTTCATATGATGTATTTGCATAGCATTATAATATCTAGGATCTCCTGTATCATATGGCATTCCATACATTGGATTAGCATTTTGCCCACGATTTCCTCTTGGTGGATACCTTATACGTCCATCTAATCCAATTATTTGTTCTTCTTCTATTGGATATCGTCTTTGTTGTCTTGGTTGTTGTTGACGTATTTCATTATTATTATGACCTGAGAATTGTTGTTGAGGTTGTGTTTCTCGTCTTTTGTTTCCACTTGTTTCTTTTTTGCTATCTTCAATTGGAACCTGATCTTGAGTTCGTTTATTGGGTAGAGAATTGTCAATTGGACTCGGTGTTAATAATTCTTGATCTTTTTGTTTTCGATTTCGAGATGTTCCTGTAGATGTCGTACGAGCGGAATTTTCTGGCAGAGAAGGAAGCGATACTTCAGTTTTTTCTGATTTCACCAGGTTTAAAGAGGTATTCACTGGTAAGGATACATTCTTTTCCGGTGCCTTTGCTACTATGGGCGTAGTTGGACTTTCCGTTATTTTAGAAGTAGCATTAATTGTATTTTCTCCTCTATTCATATTTCCAAATATCCAAATATCTGTTACAACGTCCGTTGTGTCATGTTCTTTTTTACGATGATGTGAAAATTTTTCCATTTTAGTGAAATACTTGTTACAACCATTCAATGTGCATACAACCAAACTTGTATCATAAATGGTTGCTTTATAACCGACACAATTAGTAATATCATCCTCTGTCGTAATTTCATCTGCCTCTACAGGTTTCGATACTGCGTATTTTACATTCTTTACCAAATTATTTTTTCTGGGTGCTTCTCCTTTTTGTAAACTATCTTTATTCGTATCTGGATGCAAAGTCGGTAATGTCGTTATTCGCGCCTTTCCTTTTTCTATTGTGTTCTCCTCGAGTGGTGTAGATTTTTCTGTGGGTTTAGGTTGCGCGTTATCAAACTTCCCGTTTTTTTGCGGTTCGTTTATTACAGGGTCTTTGGTTAAACGCTCGTCAACCGGTAAGGTATCTGTATCATTCATAGATAAAGTAGTTGATTTAGGTGTTGAGCTACGGCGCGTTGGAACACTCTTCTTAATGGCTAAATGTTTAATAGGATTATTAGTTGGTGTTGAATCTTCTTTAGGTAACGAACAACTTTCCAACTCCATTTTGGAGATGGTGTAAAGTTCCATAAACTAAATATCAATGCAAAAATTGAAATGTCCTATATGTGTTTAAAAGAAAGCTAGTAAATTGGGTGACTTCCTAGATCCAATAAAAGGTGTGAAAGCTCAGATAAAAATTAATTTAAAGGTCCGTGAGTGAAACTTAAGTTGTGGCGGTTATATATAATGGTTTTAACTTTGTTTTGTTGACTTTTATGGTAAAAAGAATTGCTGGTAGTCGGCTTGTAAAATCCGGAGTTATGCAAGAATTAAATGACGTTTGTGATATGAATTTAGATTTACAATCAACTTGATCAATGACCTATTATTTTTGTGGCTTGGATGATGGAAAATAATTTGACAATTCTCAACAACTCTCGAAAATTTTTATTCAGAACGTGATTTATTTAAGACAAATAAATTCTTATTCTTTTAATTAATGTCTTCTTCAAAATCAAAGTATTGAATTTTTTAAAATATATTCTATTTGTTCTCTCTAAATTATTGCAGCACTTTTTATTTATTTATTTTGTTTTTTTTTTTTTTTAAAAAAAAAAAATTAAAATAAAGGAATAAAAGTCGTGCCGACTTTAACTACATTTGTAGTCTGAAATATCGGCACATACCTCCAACGCCTGAACATTTACCACTTGATCTCAGCTGGAATGTTGATCTTAACTACTTAACGAAACCCGATTCTTTTTTTGAGTCTTTTCAAGCCTCTCGTCTCCCTCTAATAAGTGATTATGACTTGGGAATGAAAACTGAACTTAGTGATTATCCGGGTCTTTTTCTTGGAGACGAATCAGGTCTTGTTACTATTTTATTTTATTGTTCATCTTTTTTTTTTGTGTTAACTTTTTTTCTTGAAATATTAGGTTTAAATCCTCGAAGAGAAATTACTTCGTTTGAAATGAATGATCAAGCCCTGCTTTGTGTAGGCAAAGACCCGGTAACTATAACTCAAGATTTACCAAGATTAAAGAGGTTGACTAAAAATGAGCCTAAAGAATGGCTAAGACGTACACAATACTTAGATTCAGAAGCTGTATATAAAATAAATAAGTCATCTACGATGGAGAGTCGGTAAGTGCTTCTTTTATTTAAAATGCTACCGTTCTATGATAATACTTAATTAAGATCATAGAATTAACATTAATGAAAAAAGGTCTCATCCTTTAGTATGGCCGCTCTAAAGCCTAATTTCGATTTGGTAAATCAATCTCACGAAGAACAGATTGAAGCTATAGATAAAACTTTTGAAAAGGCAAATGATTTGGGATTTCTTTCAACTTTGAAACATCCTTCAAATCCTTCATTGAAGGTGGAAGAAATTATACCTGTATTTCCAGAATTTCAAGAGAGTTTACGTGGCCAGAATAAATTTGATAGAGACCCATGGGATGGATATGAATCTGAGGATGATGATGTGAGTAATATAAATTGTTGTAAAGTTAATTGCTTATATTTAAATTTATCACCTTGATATATTAAAATATAGGATAACGGGGAAGAAAAAGAATTAAGGATGAGCAAAGCTCTAATAATTCCAGGTGAAGATCGTCATGGTAAAAATCTATTTCGGTTGTATGTTCCAAGTATGGAATCTTCACAAAGGTTAATGCAAGTTAATAGCTTTGAAGATACAAGTAACGAGGTAATTTTTTATTTTTATTTTTATAATTCTTTTCAATTAGTTCGTATTTATTTTGTAATTTTATTTACTTTATTACGATTACAGACATATCAATTTAAATGGGTTAGAGATTATAACATTGACAGTGATACTGTAATGGAAAATCAAGACTTATTATTTGTAGAACAAAATCCAGCTGATGGAAATGAAAAAATATTTTCTTATTCAGAGCTTTATGTCGCATCTGTTCTTAAACGTAGAATAAATATAATGGTAAATAAAATAATAATCGTCTTTTTCTTTTATTTATGTTTAATTAAATAATTTATTAAATATTATAGGAACGGATACAAATGCCTGAACTACAAGGTGGTAGTACATATCTTAATGTAAAATATGTTTCGAATATTGAAAAAAAGAAACTGGACGATGACAATTATTATATGGAACGAGATAAAGATAGTGATAAAGATAGTGATATGTCTAGGAAGCGAGTACGCGATGATGAAGAAGAAGAAGATTATTTGCCTAGCAGGAAATTGAAGGTTGATAAAGAAAAAGTGTTAGCTGACGAAGATATCGATAGCGACTCCACTATTGATGGTGATTAATTGCTGTTTAATTTTATTTAAAAAAACTATTTTTTTTATATTGGAGGGGGGATTTTTTTTTTTTTAAAAAAAAAAAAAATCACGTAAATAATATAAAAATGACATTAGATTTTTAAGTGATGATATATTTATTAATGTGTTTAAAAAAATTAAATTACAAAATTTGATGATTTCGCTTCAAAGCTTGTTTCATATTTATCAGTAATTCAGTTCATTAGAGACTTATTAAATTTCAGCAGCGTGTTTTTATATGTATTATAAAATTATGAATTTCGTTAATTAGCTAGTCTGTGTTAGATTGCATTTTGAGATGGTTTATTTACATTATAATAATTTTTTTAAAAAATTCATGAGAACATTATTTAATATACACATATTTATTAGTCCGGAGCGTAAGCGAAGGACTATATATGTCTGTGCCCGGACTTAACAACGGTTTCCGAAACCTAGTTTATTACATTAACAATAATTACTATTACCGTAATTATACGAGGACAATTGTACAACTCATATGACAAGACCAAAGATCAGAAAGCAATAAATAAAATCAACTTACGATGGTAGAGGCTTGTTAAATCGAGAAGTCAGACTGATTATTGATCCGTAAGAGTAGTGCAGGCAAAGAATTGATAGAATCTATCACACCTGTATAATAGATTTTGAAAATTTCAAAATCAGATCACACACAGCGAAGGTAAAGATAAACTCCAAACTATTTGAAGGCCTAATCCAAAAATCTTTGAATTCCATTTGTAGACATTACTGGAATTATTTTTATTGTTAAGTCAGTCCTTCTTCTTAAACTTTAAATGCGATTCTTATATATCAAGATTATTGAAATATTAGAAGATCGTGCAAGAGGTATAACAGACCTTGTGACTAATTTTATTGGTCCATAAAGACCAATATGATAGGGAAGCATAGCTAATTCCTAATCAAGAAGAAGCAGATCCCTCACCAAGGTTACTGTCAAGCCTCCATACCTTCAGCTTGGTAGCGAAACATGGCGCAGCTTGTTACCAGCTAGTAATAAAACCCACTCCCAACTATGCTCCAGCTCACCCTCCTTTCCATTACCTATTATGCTATCTTCTTCTTCAGCCGTCCGTCTGCTATTTGATAAAAACAAAAATATATATATATATATTATTAATAAAAATAACAAAAAAACAAAATATGTACCACTTTCTTGCCGGTATCTAAACGTTAATAAAGTTCGTCACTAAAACAGCATTGTTTGTCACGAAAAGAAAAGAAGCTCGAAACTTTTGATACGTATACATATAAGTAGCTAGCATAGTTAAAAATCCGACTATTGGTCAGATGATTCCACGTGATAATTAATTATCGTTATTACAAGTTTTATTTATATTTAGGGTGGTCCCATTTTCTGCGGCGTTAAACTCAAAATATGCTTGCTTTATATAGTTAGATATGCAAGTATATTCGCTTCGTTTTTTTTATTTTTATCAAAAAATTCAAATCAAATTGCTTTATTTAAAATCTATTATTATTTTACTGCAATTACAAATTTTGATTATTAAAATACAAAAAATTCAAAGCAGCAATTGAATTTTCTGAAAGTGCACGCCGTCTATCACTAAGAATATTGGTATATGCCGAAAAACTTCGTTCTACATCTACTCCAGATACCGGGAAGCCAAATATATTCCTAAGGCTAGTCTTGCTAAATTCGGTAAGCTTTTAATTTTGTTTTTCCAATAGATATTTAAATCAAACTCACCATCATCAAACTCCTCTTCCAAACTACAATAAATTCTCCATTCTTGCATAATTTGATCTGTTGGATTTTTAAATTCTTGAATTTCCGAATATAAACTAATATTATAATGATGTTGTTGAGCACGAATATAATGTGGATCAAAGCATTGAATTGCTTTAAATAAAGGTAATGCTAAATGATTGTCAATATGTTTTTTTAACTTGTTAAAAGCTAATTGATAAGCTTCTTGAAACATTGTAATAAACACTGATAAATCAACATTTTCTTCCAAAAATTTGGTATACATCTCATTACTAAAAGGAGGTTGAATAATGCCAGATTGTAATGTAGTCTCAAGATATGTCAAGCGTTGAGTCACAAAAGGAGCAATAGGTTTATTTCTAATTTTAAAAAATTCAAAGATCATCTACAATACTATATGAATAAATATAAATTAGATTTGTATATATTTTTTTTTTTAATATAAATAAAGAATAAAAATTAACTTACCGCTTTGCATTAAATGAAATAAACATAACTAAAATTTCAAATATAAAAACATGTATTGAATTTTTAAAAATTGTTGCCAATTCTTGAACAGTTTCACTTTTCTCATTAATGATTTCTTCTTCAATATAAAATTTACATAATTGAGATATATGTTGGTTAATCCAAAAAACAAACTTAAACCATAAGTTCCAACGGGTTTTTACAGGTAAAGGTAATAATATAATTGAATTTTAATTAGAAGGAGTTGTAATAGAAGAAATAAAGAAATTTAAAAAACAGTCTATCTTTCTTTTATAAGTAGGATAATGAATAAAGAATTTTTTTATATTTGCTACAATTTTAATTAGAAATTGAAACTTTTATAACTAATCCATGTTTCTCCAACCAAGTTTAAAATGTGAGCTAAACAACGGTTATGCTTTAATTAGGGAATTAATGGAGATAATATTTGAAAGGCTTTTATTATATATGCTACATTATCAGAAATAAAAAAATAAGATTATCATGAGAAATATTATAAAATTATAAGGTTCTTATAATTAATTGAGCAATAATAATACTATTAATGGTATTATCCAAAAATTCTGTTTTGACTAATTTAGTTTGGTTACCAAAACTAAACATTATATTAACAGTTGTCCAATCACAAACATCTGTTATTTTATCAATAGTAATAGATATACGCCTATTATATACTATTTTTTGCATGCTAGAAACCTTCATATTAAAGATAATTGGTAAATATTTTTCTCATAATAAAGAAGAGCCTGCAATAGCTCCACCTATAATATAATTAATGAGTTAATAATATGTTAAATGATAAATTAAAAAATAATATAGATTTTTCATACTATTTTTGCAAAATTTCAAAAAAAAGTCTTTAAGTTTATCTACTTTTTTAAGTGATATGTCTGTTATGTAAATGCTTTTACTAAAGCAGTATTAAAGACTTCGCATTCATTTAACTCATTATTATTGGCATTGAGAGTGGTTTAATAAGCTCTTACCATATACTTCCAGTGTTGGCAAATGACCTTGAAGTGACCTTAAAATGACCTAATCATGTGATGATTTTACTATGAAATCTATCACGTGATCATATACAAAGTGACCTAGGTCACTTCAAAAAAAGGGAAATGACCTTGAAATTTGCTAACACTGTATACTTCTGAAATTAAGCACACTTTTTTTACTATAGGGGTGCTTAATTTTAGGTGATTTTATAAAAGATTACTTCTTTTTAAAATTGTATTACCAAAATAATATTTGAAACTGCGTAAAATAATAATTATCAGATGATTTGATGATATTATGCAACTAAATGATTTTATAATATGAAATTTACACAATACACATTTTAAAATCTGTTTTAAACTCTCACAAAAAATGTCAAGAAAACGCATAAAAGTTGTACATAATAAACCTATCAAACGTAACTATTCTTCATATTCTATTGACCAGAAGAATCAAGGTATCACTTATGCTAAGCAGCACAAACAAAATAAAATGGCAAGGCACTTTCAACTTGACGCTAATATAGTAGGCTGTTAGGTTAAAGCAAGCAAAATTTAGAATACTGAAATAAACTAAAACAGTAAACGAATTAATTCAAGTCAAAAAGTCTTCTATTCTAAAGCTAAAAAAAAGTTGTATGCTTAGCTTATTGAACAAAGAAAGCAAGAAATAGCTGTTACTTATGCATTCTTACAAATTAAAATGCAAAATATTCTAAAGAAACCTGAAATGATAGGTTTGTATGGTGATTCAGCAAAAGATTTTAAAATGTCAGATCAATGACTATCTTCCTTTATAAAAAGATACAAGCTGTCTGAGCGAAAACGTATGAAAATTTCTCAAAAGCTTTCAAACTAAACGAAAGAATTGTTAACTAATTTTCATCAATTTATTATCCACTCAAAAACTGAAAAATCCTTTGAATTATACAATATTTTTAACATAACAAAACTCCAGTGTAGTTTAATATGGTAGGAAATTTCATCATTAATTCAAAAGGAGAAAAAACAGTTTAAATTCATAGCACTGGTAATAAAAAAAACTGATTTACAGTGGTTTTGACATGTGTTACAGGTAGGTTAAACAATTTTTTTAATTTTATGAGAACTGTATTAACATTTAGAATTTTAATGATTCTGATTTTGAATTTTGTGATGATTTCATAATTTTGTTTTTTAGGCAATTTTTAAGTTTAAGATTCTGATTTTTAGGCAATTTTTAGGTTTAATGTTCTAATTTTAAGTTTTAAGAGATTTACTTTTAAGACTTACAATACTTTTTACCATTACTTCTTGAATAGCTGCTAGCAGATTTTTTTTAATTTCTTATACACTTTTAAAATTATCTGATAAGTTTTCTTTTTTTGATTAGAACTGAGAGGTTTAGAGATTAAAGTTGTAGTTTCTTTTGATGATTTTCATAGAGGTTTAATTTTTTTGATTTGATTTTTTTGTTTTCAATAATCCAATTGATTTTCAATGATATTTTTGATTTTTAAAAAATTTCAAAGATGTTTTTGATTTTCAATATATATTTTTTTTAATTTTATTTAACAATTATAATTCTTTTTATTGTAGATGAAATAAAGCTTTCTCTGATCTGTATCTTTAAAGGGAAGCAATTATCAAAAGGTAAACAAATACCTCTCGGTGTAATTGTTTAGTTCTAAAAAAATAGTGGATAGATATTGAATTGATGAAATGATATATTGATTACCTTAAAGATATAGAGGTTGTTGGCAGATCTAGGGCTC